GAGAGAAAGGGAGAGGGAGAGATAGAAACATCAATGATGAGAATCACTGATGGGCTGCCTCCTGCACTGCCCCCTACTGAGGATGTAGCCTGGAAACTTGGGCATGTGCCCTGACTGGGAATTAAACCGTGACTTCTTGGTTCATAGGTTGATTCTCAATCACCCCGCCACACCAGCCAGGCAGATTTAAATAAACATTTTAAATAAAGTTTGAAAAAATATAAAACTAGCAGATGCTCATTGCAAAAAAATTTTTTAATAGTACTAAAAACCCTATATAATAAAAGGCTAATATGCAAATTGACTGAATGGCAGAACAACCGGTCGCTATGATGAGCACTGCCCACCAGGGGGCAGACGTTCAATGCAGGAGCTGTTCCCTGGTGATCAGTGCGCTCCCACAGGGAGCCACTCAGCCAGAAGCTGGGCTCACAGCTGGTGAGCACAGCAGTGGTGGCGGGAGCCTCTCCTGCCTCCGCAGCAGCACTAAGGACCCCTCGAGGGATGTTCCACTGCTGGCTTAGGCCCGCTCCCCGGCAGTCGAACATCCCTTGAGGGGTCCCGGACTGTGAGAGGGCGCAGGCCGGGCTTAGGGACATCCCCCCCCCCCCCCACGCACGAATTTCGTGCACCAGACCTCTAGTTTATTTATATTTATGTATTTAATTTAGTTCCCCCCGAGTGCACGAATTTTGTGCACCGGGCCTCTATTATAATATAAAGAAAGTAAACAGCACAGAAAACCCTCCTTCTAGGGAGAGCCATTGTGACTGTTTGGCAAACATCTTCTTTACACACACACACACACACACACACACACACACACACACCCATGTTGTGATATAAATAGGCTAAAATTACATATATTTTTTGAAAACTTTTAAAAAACTCAGCAAGATCTTGGCGATATCCTTCCATGTTAATAAATATAGTGTGGGATCAGTCTTTTAAATGACTACCTAGTATATTATTATGAGATTCATTTGGCTGAACTGCTAAGGATGAGCATTCATATAGAGCAGTGATGGCGAACCTTTTTTTTTTTTAAATATATTTTATTGATTTTTTACAGAGAGGAAGGGAGAGAGATAGAGAGTCAGAAACATCAATGAGAGAGAAACATCGATCAGCTGCCTCCTGCACACCCCCCACGGGGGATGTGCCCACAACCAAGGTATATGCCCTTGACCAGAATTGAACCTGGGACCTTTCAGTCCACAGGCCGACGCTCTATCCACTGAGCCAAACTGGCTAGGGCAGTGATGGCGAACCTTTTGAGCTCGGCGTGTCAGCATTTTGAAAAACCCTAAACTTAACTCTGGTGCCGTGTCACATACAGAAATTTTTTGATATTTGCAACCATAGTAAAACAAAGACTTATATTTTTGATATTTATTTTATATATTTAAATGCCATTTAACAAAGAAAAATCAACCAAAAAAATGAGTTCGCGTGTCATCTCTGACACGCGTGTCATAGGTTCACCATCATTGATACAGAGTGTTCCTTCTGGCAAAGGAATGAAATACATAGAAAAATCAGTATGTACAATTTTTGAGGTTCCATATGATCACAGTTAAGTAAAAGAATGGGCCCACATCAATATCTAAAAGTTCAGCCATTGGTCACACAGGTTATTTCCGGGCAGAAGGACCAGGGGTGATTTTGTTCTTTTGTCAACTCTTCTGTCCTTCCAGATTTTTTATTATAAGCCTGTGTTACTATAGTCTTCATTGCATTGACTCAAGTAGAAATGTCTTTTTCAGAGTTTTTTGGGGTTCGGATATGTGGATAAGGGATGGTACACCTGCACTGCTAACAACTTGTTTTTTGTTAATCCTCACCTCCATTGATTTTTAGAGAGAGTGGAAGGGACAGGGAGAGACAGAGAAACATCAATGTAAGAGAGAATCATTGATTGGTTGCCACCCACAGGTGCCCTCCTACACCCCCAGGCCCAAGGATTGAGCCTGCAACCGAAGTACCTGCCCTTGACTGGAATCGAACCCAGGACCCTTCAGTCTGCGGGCCAATGCTCTATCCACTGAGCCAAACCGGCCAGGGAAGCAGAAATGTATTTTACATTGCACAAGAAATAACGGTTTTTTTCGTCAAAGTGCCAACTCTGGCGATGCTCTCTTTCCTGTTTCCTCTGCACCACACTTGGTCCTGTCACCAGCCACTCTCTTGTCGTGTCTTCATCCCCTCCATCCTGTCCCTGAGTCAGCACGGGCTGGACCCCACAGGTGCTCAGTGGGCGTTGCTGACTGACTTGGAGCGTGAATCGGAGGCGGGGTGCTCATGGCTCATGGTCCTAGGGTGGCCCCCTCAGATGGCACCTGCATTGAACACAGCCTGGGCATCTCCACGTTGTGAGAAAGAAGCCTGGCGGGTCACACAGGGGCAAGGAGGCCCGTGTAGCCTCAGGCACATCAGAAGGCCTGGAGCAGGCAGCCATCCGTTCTCAGCTCCCAGCAAAGACCTGGCCAGAGGGAAGCTTGGTGCTCCTGGGCAGCAGCTGCCCCCACCCCCAGAAGGTCTGTGAGGACGCAGAGGATGCCTTCAGTTTTTCCATCCAGGTCACTGAGTGGGCTCTCTATTACGTTTGGTTAGTGCTGAGACACTTCCTCTTTCGTCTGTGTCTCAGTTAAGGCCTCCCCGCCCCCGCCTTCATGAAGACTGAAAAAGGGGAACGTGGGAGAAAAACTCAAAATTTCAGATGGAGCTTCAGCCGGGGAACTGTCCTTCCCCGGTGGCTGGGGAAGTCGCCCAGGGGACCACAGCACCCCCAGAGGTCACAGGGGCCGCTTGACCTGCCCTTTCTCCCTCCCAACAGTCTGAGCTCCCACCCAAGGAGTCCTAAATGCTGCGGAGGATTCTGGGGACCCCCATGCCTGTTTTTTGGGGAGTGACCATCTTAAAGTAAAAAACTGATGCCTGCTTTTGCTCATTTTGTGAGTTTACTGTATGCATTTGCAAGATAAATATAGAGACACTCATATGTGTATATGTAGGTACGCATGCAGGCACCAGACGGGAGCTTTTGGAGACTGTCAGCACAGAAAACAACTTGCCTAACGAGACAGCAGAGAACTGCAAAGGCCGTGGCCCCAGAGGCCTGAGCCGCTGCTTCCATCTGCAGCGTGATTGATGATAAGCATCTATGTGCACCAGTGAGTTGAAAGAAAACTGTAACTGTTCCGGGAAACAGCAACCGAAGTCACAAATCATAAATAATAAAAGATAGAAAAATCCTCTTTTAACCTAATGGCCTGAATGACTTCTTGCTTTGTATTTCTGCTAATGGCCCTCCTCCCCCTGGCACTACCGGAGCTGGCCCATTACAGGCAAATCAAGCCTCCGTTTGCAAGCAGGACCTGGTCCAAAAGAGCATTTATAAGGTACTTGTTTGGAGCTTGTGTTTTCCCTGGAAACCATCTTCCCAGGGTGCCTGGTTCTCAGGTTCACTGCGTGGCGCCATTGAGCCCCTACTGTCCCTGGGCGCTGGGCCTTTGAGGGCAGGAGGGAGAGAGCAAGTCAACTCTGGCTGTCCACCTACAGCCCTGGCTCTGGGTACCATTTAAATGTAACTCAACTTCCTTTTCCATCTTCCCACTCCCTTGCGGCATTCAGGTCCCTGTGCCTTAACCTGCAGCACAGCACCCTCCCCATTCTCTGGGCTGCTCTCCTGCTGGGGGACTCTTGACCACAAATGGCCCACCTGTCCCCACTTCCTGACCAATTAGACTACCATTTCCTCCATTCAGCTGGTATCAGGTTAGAGCTAGAGAAAAAGCCAACTAGCAGATATGAGTTCATGCTAGCAGATGCATGACTGAAACCCTCCTCATGTTTCCTCATGTTAAAACAGGTTGCTTGTGACCCTTGAGAGTCATTGTGGGCAGTAAGGTCGAGGGGGTGTGCAAAGGGGGGTTAAAAGTGCAGAATCTCTGCACACTCATGGGTGGGGATACTCACACCACCCAGCTCCCAGAGCACTGGCAGTTAGTTAGGAAAGAATCCTTCCTTGGAACAAACAGGGTGGTCACAGGTCCAGACACTGGGTACTCATTCTCCACTCAGTGATTTACTAGTAGCTGGCTCTCTGGCCACCTCCCAGAAACTCCACAGTGGATACGCCACTCTCATGCACACAGAACCATCAACCAGCTTTTTGTGCCTCACGATGAAATCTCAACAGATAGCCAAGGATCGCCAGATGTTTGTGGACAGTTCTAATTGGGGGGGGGGGGGGGGGGGGGGGGGGGGGAGCATAACAGAGCTAACAGCAGAAAAACGTTAAAAGTAGCATAGTTAATATCCACAGAGAGCTGAGAGGAGATGTCTTGCCCACGAAAGGAGAAAGGCTGCAAAATAAACAATCAGAACAAGAAAGGGCTTCTGGCTATTGGAGAATACAATGTTTGAAAATAAATATTCAAAAGAAAAGGAAGAAAGTAGTTGATGAAAACTTCAGAAAATGGTACAAAATGATATATGGAAACTATGAAAGATAAGAAAACCAGAGGAAAGCCCCACATCCAGAAAAAAAAAATGGAGGGAAGGAAATTGTAAACAAATATAAGAAAAATTCTTAGAATGGAAGGATAAGTCTCAAGATTTAAGGGCCCACCGAGTGAGCAACAAAATGAATGGGGAAGAGGCCCCGACCAGGACACATCTTAAAAAAACAACATATAAACGTTAAAATCTCAGAGTTCTTCTAAGAATAAAGAGAAGTCCGAGAAAGAGAGAGAGAGAGAGAGAGAGAGAGAGAGAGAGACAGTGAAAGCAAATGAGGTAAAATGTTAACAGTTGGGGAATCTGGATGAAGATTATATAGTGATTCTTTATACTATTCTTGCTGCTTTTCTGTAAGCTTGACATTATCTCAAAACAGTTTTGTCAATTTAATAGGTAAGAAAAAGCATTAGAATGGTTATTGTTTTATTATAATTATTAGTAAAATTGAACACGTTAAGGAATCATTCAAATTATCTGTTTATGTCCTTGCTCATTTTACATTTATGTTCTTTGCTCTTCCCTATTGCTGTGTAAAGCCATTTTTTAAATCCGTCATTTGATATATATAGAGCCTTTCTCTCCTGCTTTCTGTAGCCTTCTAACTTTGTTACAAATGTTCCTTTTTAACCTTGGGCAGGGTATGTTTCCTTGCTGGAGACTGGGAAGAGGGATTTGGATGAAGAAACGCCAGTATGGTAACATGTCCTGAACTTCAAAAGAAGAGGTTACTGTGGAGTGGCTGGACAGCGGCTTGGGAGCATCTATGAGTGAGGGCTGAGAGGTGAGAAGTGAGGACAGGGGGAAGGCTGGGCCTCCCTGAGGGTGAAGGTCTTGGAAGAGAGTCTATGGCACAGGCTCCCTGGGCAGGAAGTGGGAGGAGGAACTGAATGGAGCGCAGGCGACCAGCCTGGGGAAGCGCGGGCTGAGCTGGCGGGAAGGGGGTTTGGGGAGCGGGATGCCCATTCGGGCAGGGTTTGTCCGCACTCAGTGGCATTAGCCAGCCTGGCCACCCGGCACGTCCTGACGTCTGACGGTCCCTGGGGGGCCCGAGGGGCTGCAGGCGGGCGGGCGGAGGGTCCTCTGCTTCCATGCACTCCGCTTCCAGGGCTGAAGGGAGCCTTGGGGTCGGAGCGGCCACGGGGCGACCTCAGCCCCCACGTCCACCTCCCGGCCTCGCTCTGGCAGCCGCAGC